AAAATAAGATGAGCTATCTCGGGATCGTAATAAGTCTTGTGCATCTTATGCATCAGACGCTCCAGACACTCTTAAGGTAAACTCCCAATTCAGATGAATCTGTACAGATCCATTATGTCCGGATGTGGCCCATATTGCTGGATGCATGTGGCGTACCTCAATGTACCCTATTAGCTACCTCCTCCTTGAGTATAGGCTACTTGTACTCTACCACTCCAGATGCATACGGACCTCTGATGCTTCTTACCTAATGTGTTTTGATTGTTAATGCTTTCCAAGAGTGGCTTCTTAAGGTTTCTCGCTACTGCCATTGCCACCTCACGACTGGCAGTTTTGTCTAGGTGACAATTTAATAACCTCTGCCAGATGCAAAAAATGCTGAAGTGGTATCAGAAGACAGTAGATGTCGGGTACCGGTTACTATAACATTGGGTGTATATGGAACGTGGCCCAGTATTATTGGCAATTTGTCAGCATTGTGTCTGTTTGTCTACAAGCCTTCCATACATGCCCAACGTCATGGTAACCAGTGCCTGACGTCTACTATCTTCTGATATTACTTCGGCTTTTTTTGCGTCTGCCATATGTTTTTGCATAGTCCTCTGGGATTCTTCATATCGCCCACTGGCTGTTTCCAGATATTTTTTGTTACTGGAAGACCCACAACATCCTTAGCAGCTTACCATTATCTGTCAGAACGCTCTAGCCAGCACCTCCCAATCACCTCAGTTTTTGCCTTTAGTCAGAGTTGGGACTGCTACAGCTCTCAACTTGGACTGAATTTCGCCTGCCAGCTCTGATCTAGTCTTGTTTTGCCTTGTTGTAGACTATTTTAACCAGCATGAAACTAGTACATTGTATTATATGCTATAGATGTGTAATCATATACTACTACTAAGGAATTCAACTTTGCCCTATTTCTTTATGTCACTTTCATCTACTTGTGGAGGGGGATCTGCCAGCGCACTAACCTGACCCTGGCTGTTTATACTTGTCAGCCAATCTTGTGCCTCTACTTGTTGTGACTCTTATAGACTATATTCTGTCTAGGTACACATGCTGTCGGTACCAGTGAGTATTGTTCCAGCCTGCTCTGTATTAATTCCAAACTCCCAGCTTAATGTATTGAGATCATCTGCATATCCAATAGTGCTCTCCTCACATTTCCATTGATCCCTTGCACTTCTCTCCTTCAATATACTCGTGATCTGCTTGATGATTTTAGTCTGGAAGTCCACTGGTGTTTTGGCCCAAGTTTGCAATTGGCACTCTAGCAGACCTGTCTTTATGTTACCTGGATTATCACTTGTCTTAAGCAGATGTTTTTAATCTTTACCTCGAGAACTTGACCGTGTGAAATTTACCTTGTTAATAAAAGTTCCTGTCTGCTAGTACAGCAGAGTATGATATAAGATGGCAGCGCTCAGACACGGAAATGGGCCATTAATCTTTCCCAGAAACCCATCATTCATTGAGCCTCTTTTTTTGTTGCTTGAATAAAACTACTCATATATCACGCCTGGAATCTGTGGGGCTAGGAATCTATAGAAAAAAAACTGCTTAAATTGTTAGATTAATTCAGTCATATTGTAGACTAAAATAATGGCCAGCAATATCAAACAATGATTCATATCAATTTAGCGAGTAATAGAATAGATCCTTTCCAAGTAGGTACATTACCTTTTGCTCACAGGCTGCATAGTCTTTAGTATTAAGCTTATATAAATCTGGTACAATCTTTTTCGCAGTATACAGATATTGAGATCTGTACAAACTGTACTTTGCTCAGATCTGTTTCAAGAGTAGCTGGCAGCCACATTCTTTAGTCTTGTGGACAGGATATAGGTAATCGATTAATACCAACTTACTTGGTCATTAGAGGCCAAGATAGCATTACTAAAATAGTAGAAACCCGATTCATGTCTGGTATTGCTCCAACCATTGCCTACTCTTTCTACTAGGTTAATTGGGTTTGGGAATAGATCGGCAAACAATGCCCAGTTCCACATTATCTCACGGGC